GTTGTAGATGTCTATGAGCTCCAGTAACCACTTAACACCAGGTGGGCTGTGAGCTCGTCCTACCATCTAAGCAATAAAAAAATAAAATAAAAAAAAAAACATGTTCTGTTTTTAACAAATAAATCTAATCTTTCAGGTATACCTTTCACTTTAAATATTATGGATATTTGGAATTATGGAAAAGATAATTACAGTCCACTCCTCAGTCCTTTTCCGAATACTCTGGAAGCGAAGAATATAGTTTCAGTGTATGACATATTCAGGGATGGATGCAGGAGACTCTGGATGGTCGATACAGGGTNACTAGTGGTTGAACGTCTTGTGAGTCCGCACGGGTAGGTACCACCACCCTGCCTATTTCTGCCCTGAAGCAGTAATGTGTTTCAGTTTGAACACCCGTTGTACTGTTAAAAGTGAGACCCTTAGAACTTATGTCTCAAGGTGGGTGGCGCCATTTGCGTTGTAGATGTTTATGGGCTTCGGTGCCCACTTAACACCAGGTGGGTCGTGAGCTCGTCCACTCATCTAAGCAATAAAATAAAAACTTACTCGAATCATTATCGGAATATCGGGCGAATGAATTGCACGATAAAATCGATTATTAACTTTAGTCTTCAAAGCAAATAAAGAGACATGTTCTGTTTTTAACAAATAAATCTGATCTTTCAGGTATACCTTTCACTTTAAATATTATGGATATTTGGAATTATGGAAAAGATAATTACAGTCCACTCCTCAGTCCTTTTCCGAATACTCTGGAAGCGAAGAATATAGTTTCAGTATATGACATATTCAGGGATGGATGCAGGAGACTCTGGATGGTCGATACAGGGTTCATTGATATTCCTGGTGAGTAAAATATATAAAACTAGTGGGCGTCATGCAGTCGGAATAATTAATTAAAATTAGAAGTTTAAACATTATTATGGTTCTATTATAAAAAACTATTATGCTTCTATAATAACATATTTCGCCAAGACTTAAACTATATACAAAATATATTAAAGACAAACAATGTTAATGTGTTCTCAATTTGACCACAGAACAATAACAAAAGTTTGACAATAACCAAAGAATGTGTAAAATGTATTGTGTCAAATACACGGTAGCGTAATTTAATGTATTTTTTATGCATAGTTAACAAAAAAATTAACATTATGCACTCCTTCTCTATATTCTCTATAAGTGGATAAAATTTCATAATTCTCCGTTCGTGTAATTTTCTTGAAAAGGGATACAAAGTTTTTGCTTCACTTATTAATATATTATAGGTATTATAGATGATATAAACGAGTATATGAATTTTCACAATATAAACATTTCTTCACCATATAGATCGATTTATCTTAGTTTAATATTTTAGTCTTACTTAGCGAATGTTAAGCTGAAATTTTGATAAATTGCTTGAGATAAATCTTGTTTAATATTATATCACTTAAATAGGTGTCAGAAAACAAGTTCAACCGCCGACAGTGCTCATAATAAGTGGACATCGACGCGTGATCTATCAAAAAATACGCATAGATCCAGAAGTACTTCATAATGGGGTAACATCAGGTAGTATAATTAATTCAATTATTGACTGCTACAAAACAAATGTTGTCACTATCTACATAAACCAAGCCATAGGTCTAATACCAATTAAATACATTTTCTGCAACTTACTGACTTCAGTTTCTTGAGGATTCTCATTAAAAAAACCTAAGAGAAAGTGCAAATTGATTCTCTGTGTTTTTGTTTTCTTATTTCTCCAGGTTACCATTGTTCGACTAAAGATTTCTATTGGATTGAATTGCATATTACATCAATGATACCTACCACTGATATTTATCTACGAAATATTGTAAATTTCTTGTCTAATAGTACTATGGCTCGTTTGACATCTCTTAGGATCCTCTTTCCAGTATCTCTTAGCTGAGCTAATAGTTTACCAAATAGATAAATAAAAATATTTCCAAAGGTCGTATCAAATATGTATGTTGGGTGTAATATGACAACTTCAGGAAGAAATCATTTTTAAAGATAGTTTTAAAGTTAACGACTAATTCAATTTTCTTACCGGGGCTGAAATATATCGTAACGTGAATGCTGTAATCCACTTCAAGACAAGAATTCCAACCTTGATCTAGAAAATTGTNACTATACTGAGATCCTAGAACTTAATCTCAAAGTGGGTGGCGCATTTACGTTGTAGATGTCTATGGGCTCCAGTAACCACTTAACACCAGGAGGGCTGTGAGCTCGTTCACCCATCTAAGCAACAAATAAAAAGTTTGACAATAACCAAAGAATGTGTAAAATGTATTGTGTCAAATAGACGGTAGCGTAATTTATTGTATTTTTTATGCATAGCTAACAAAAAAATTAACATTCTGCACTCCTTCTCTATATTCTCTATAAGTGGATAAAATTTCATAATTCTCCGTTCGTGTAATTTTCTTGAAAAGGGATACAAAGTTTTTGCTTCACTTATTAATATATTATAGGTATTATAGATGATATAAATGAGAATATGAATTTTCACAATATAAACATTTCTTCACCATATAGATCGATTTATCTTAGTTTAATATTTTAGTCTTACTTAGCGAATGTTAAGCTGAAATTTTGATAAATTGCCTGAAATAAATCTTGTTTAATATTATATCACTTAAATAGGTGTCAGAAAACAAGTTCAACCACCGACAGTGCTCATAATAAGTGGACATCGACACGTGATCTATCAAAAAATACGCATAGATCCAGAAGTACTTCATAATGGGGTAACATCAGGTAGTATAATTAATTCAATTATTGACTGCTACAAAACAAATGTTGTCACTATCTACATAAGCCGAGCCATAGGTCTAATATCAATTAAATACATTTTCTGCAACTTACTGACATCGGTTTCTTGAGGGTTCTCATTAAAAAAACCTAAGAGAAACTGCAAATTGATTCTCTGTGTTTTTGTTTTCTTATTTCTCCAGGTTACCATTGTTCGACTAAAGATTTCTATTGGATTGAATTGCATTTTTTTTTATTGCTTAGATGGGTGGACGAGCTCACAGCCCACCTGGTGTTGAGTGGTTACTGGAGCCCATAAACAGCTACAACGTAGACGCGCCACCCACCTTGAGATACAAGTTCTAAAGTCTCAGTATAGTTACAACGGCTGCCCCACCCTTCAAACCGAAACGCATTACTGCTTCACGGCAGAAATAGGCAGGGCGGTGGTACCTACCCGCGCGGACTCACAAGTGGTCCTACCACCAGTATTATTACCACCAGTAATCAGTATTACATCAATGATATCTACCACTGATATTTATCTACGAAATATTGTAAAATTCTTGTCTAATAGTAGGTACTATGGCTCGTTTGATATCTCTTAGGATCCTGTTTCCAGTATCTCTTAGCTGAGCTAATAGTTTGCCAAATAAATAAATAAAAATATTTCCAAAGGTCGTATCAAATATTTATGTTGGATGTAATATGACAAGTTTAGGAAGGAATCATTTTTAAAGTTAGTTTTAAAGTTGACGACTAATTCAATTTTCTTACCGGGGCTGAAATATATCGTAACGTGAATGCTGTAATCCACTTCAAGACAAGAATTCCAACCTTGATCTAGAAAATTGTCCTAACTATTGTTCGAATCACAACCCATTTCATCTCATCTCTATGATTACTACTTTGTGTCAGAGATAGACGGACGGACAAGTGAAGTTTACCGGTGCTAGATCCCAATACGCCTACCGCTAGAAGAAAGTATTTATATTTTGACTACCTCGCAATTCTGGTATCGCAACACCCGTCAATTCTCTGGTCCGTGTACATATTCAAATCAACAACGAATCTTACCATTAGTGATTTATTTAAGTGGCCCATATTAAGCAGCAGAAAGTAATGTTATAAATAATAGCGATGATTTTTACAGGCCTTAGAACCATCGCCATAGACTACATCTTACCTTGTTCGGAGACCTTTATGTATATAAATGATGACAGCAGTAACGCTGTTATCGTCTTTTCGCTGAGGAANATGTTATAAATAATAGCGATGATTTTTACAGGCCTTAGAACCATCGCCATAGACTACATCTTACCTTGTTCGGAGACCTTTATGTATATAAATGATGACAGCAGTAACGCTGTTATCGTCTTTTCGCTGAGGAACAAGAGCTTTCAGAGGATCGTCAGATCGAATGCAAAGGACGAAGCGTGGAGCTTTCCTGTACCAAGTATGAAATATCATGGTATCATGTTTATAGAATAATAAATAAACGGCATAAACGCAAGTGCCCATTAATCTCCTGACAACAAATCATAGTCTAATATTGATTATTTTGATATTAAAAATGTAGTATGTTAATAAAATCTCCATTTCAGAATCAATTGTAAATTACATGACGAACGTGGTCAGGTACCGGCAGCCCCCGAACGAGACGTTTATACAGTACTCAGATTTACTGAAAACAACAATTGCCGATCGGGAGAAGTTACGCTCTGATGCGGTGAGTGAGTATTGGGGGTGACTGGCGGTATGTGACGTATTGTATAGGAACGAACTAGAGGTAAGCGCAGCGTTGGGCGTCCCCCTGCCCGTTGGACCGATGACTTGCGTTGGACCGATGACTTGCGGCGATATGCTGGGGGAGATTGGATGCGGAAGGCGGAGGATCGTTCATTGTGGCGGACTATGGGAGAGGCCTACATCCAGCAGTGGAGAGAGATACAGACTGATGATGATGATGATGAACTACAGAAATTTATGATTGTGGGCATTTTATGTCACCATTTTCCCATCAGCGATGTCAGTCTGTCGTTAAATTAATGCGAGTTTGCTTTGCACAATTGCAGTACAGAAATTGTCTCCACAAAGCCTAGCCTTTGACTTTATCAGCGTAGATGACATACGAGCTTACAGTCTATCAGAATAAAGCACACACAAACATATGAATGTCGATCTTAATACGCCCTTTCGCGAGCAAATTGACTGTGTCATATTCTTATTCCCAGGAACTAAGCGAACCCAAAGCCAATCCCCGAGGGGTGTTGTATGAAAGAAATGTAGACAGCAACGTTTTATTTTTCACAAACGAAGAACGCACGCTTCTATTTTGTTGGAACGCGGACACACCCATGGTAGAAGAGAATGTAGCATTGCTCACCGACATATCGTCGAACAACGATTTTTATATATCCGGTACTAAAAATTCAATTTGCTATCCTTAGAAATAAAAATATAACGGAAGTCTTGGTTAATTCATTGACCGTTGAGAACTTTTTTTTCGAAAAAAGACATGACAATGTGTTCGGCAAAAATCTTAAAGAGTTAGTTCCCGAGACTGATGGTATGTGCTACAAGTGGTGCCTCAATATGTACTACGTTGAGCACAGCGATTCCAGATATACGGAATGAACTCTTGTCGGGTATTTCTTTTTATTATTACTTAGATAGGTGAACGAGTTCCCAGCCCACCTGATTTTAAGTGGTTACTGGAGCCCATAGACATCTACAACGTAAATGCGCCACCCACCTTGAGATATAAGTTCTAAGATCACAGTATAGTTACAATGGCTGCGCCACCCTTCAAACTGAAACGCATTACTGCTTCACGGCAGAAATAGGCAGGGTGGTAATACCTACCCGTGGTATGTATCCGTGCGGACTCACAAGAGCTCCTATCACCAGTATAAGGGTAGGTAGGGTAGGGAAGATGGTAGTCTATACTTAATACTTAATAATATTATAAAGAAGAAAGATTTGTTTGTTTGTTTGTTTCGAATAGGCTCCGAAACTACTGAACCGATTTGAAAAATTCTTTTCCCATTAGAAGCCGACATTGTCCCTGATGAACATAGGCTACTTTTTTTATTTATTTTTTTTGGTTTAATGTTTCCGAAGCGAAGCGAGGGCGGGTCGCTAGTGTGGTGATAAAATGGAGAGTTTGGTAATTCAGGCCTATTTAAGCAACTATTAATTTCCTGTCATATGTTGTCAATGTAGTTCAGATACTGATTTCAGCTGATGATTTAATTTACTCGTATTTATTGATGTCACTTGGCTTCAGAAATTGGATTGGTTCGTCGACCATTTATTTATTTTGTCTGTAAGACTGAAATAATATTTTTTTTCAGGAATGGAAACTTCCGGATATGTCTTTAAATTCCTGGTCAACAGGATACGGAATATCGATAATAATATTTATAATGAACAAGCAATCAATTTCGCTAATTATAAGTAAGTAATGAGGCGTTAGCAAAATATGGTAGTAGTTAGTACATTTATGTTTTCAGTTTGATTCTTTACGACATTGAATCTTGTCTGAGTACATTTATCATGTCAAGCAAAAACATTATTGAAAATAGAAATAAAAAAATCGGTTGTCTGTTAAGTCGGTTTACTGACGATAGTTGAACGTGACAACGTCATAAGAAAGTACGGATGGAATGGTTTCATTTTTCAAAATAAAATTTTAATTTTATTTGTTTGATAGATATTTTGTATGGACCATTGACACCACATTCGTTTTTCACTGAACTTTATACTTGACGAAAACATGTGAATGTATTATTGTATAGTAGCCGTCCACGCGGATGCAACGCTCACTCAATTAGGAGAGAGACAGATGTCGAACGCTGCATCGTTGCGCGCTCTCGCTTGCACTTCAAGCCTTAAATGGAACGCCTCAATGAGTCATGTTTTTTCGTGCGTGCAGCCGGCTCCATCGAATTATAAGAAGTTGTCACGACAAAAACATTATTGAAAATACAAATAAAAATTATATAATTAATTAAAACGAAGTTAACAACTTGATTCATCAATGAGTTTACTTTCGTACATGGTGTATGAAATAACTAAATCTTCCGACCCACCTGGTAAATACTAACGGTTGAGAGTAATTACCAGAGGCCGCCTGCCTTGAGTCGAATAATCCAATTTTCAATTGTATTTAAGCTGTCGTCCTACCCTTTAAAACGGAATAATCGACTTCTTCGCGACTGAAACAGGCCAAATATTAGCGCTTCCTTCCGTGCTCATTTTCAGCACCTGGTCCCTCGTTTGTTGGGGGTGGCCGGCGCGTTAAGCCGGCTTCTGCCCAACGTCGGGGGGCCTGACCAGGTGACGCGCCGTCTCTATACGGGGGTGGTGCGATCAATGGCCCTATACGGGGCGCCTGTGTGGGGCCAGTCCCTGGCCGCGGGGGTGGCGAAGCTGCTGCAACGGNGGTCATTTTCCATCCTCGCTCATGGTATGATTGGGAGTTTCTTATTGGGGCTTAACAGAGGTACATTTTTGTGAGAAAGGTGTAAAAACGAATGCAGTTGTGTATCAAAATACAGTCCTGACGAACCTTGTGGAACCTGTTTCTTATACCATGTTCAATAACAGGCACTGGGTATTCCAACAAGATTCGGCGCCAGCTCATAGAGCGAAGAGCACACAAGACTGGCTGGCGCGGCGTGAAATCGACTTCATCCGGCACGAAGACTGGCCCTCCTCCAGTCCAGATTTGAATCCGTTAGATTACAAGATATGGCAACACTTGGAGGAAAAAGCGTGCTCAAAGCCTCATCCCAATTTGGAGTCACTCAAGACATCCTTGATTAAGTCAGCCGCCGATATTGACATGGACCTCGTTCGTGCTGCGATAGACGACTGGCCGCGCAGATTGAAGGCCTGTATTCAAAATCACGGAGGTCATTTTGAATAAACTGGTATATGAATGGTTACATAATAAATAAACTTGTTTCAATTATTTTACATTAAACATGTGACAGAATTTATGACCTGACTAGGTATATTTTTTGTATGGACCATTGACACCACATTCATTTTTCACTGAACTTCATACTTGACGAAAACATGTGAATGTATTATTGTATAGTAGCTGTCCACGCGGATGCATCGCTCACTCAAGTAGGAGAGAGACAGATGTCGAACGCTACCGAACGCGGAGGCCAATTGTACCTCTTTTTCACTCGTTACGCGCTCTCGCTTGCACTTCAAGCCTTAAATGGGACGCCTTAATGAGTCATGTTTTTTCGTGCGTGCAGCCGGCTCCATCGAATTATAAGACGTTGTCACGACAAAAACATTATTGAAAATAGAAAAAAAAAATTATATAATTAATTAAAACGAAGTTAACAACTTGATTCATCAATGAGTTTACTTTCGTACATGTTGTATGAAATAATGTAATAACTAAATCATCCAACCCACCTGGTAAATACTAACGGTTGAGAGTAATTATCAGAGGCCGCCTGCCTTGAGTCAAATAATCCAATTTTCACTTGTATTTAAGCNAAAAAAAAAAAAAAAAAAAAAAAAAAAAAAAAAAAAAAAAAAAAAAAAAAAAAAAAAATTAGCGCTTATCGATTTATTTTGGAGTTTGTATTTGGGTCTTTTAGCTGTGCTTTATACTAATGGTCAAATCTTCTATAGGGTCCTAGTTCTCGAAATGCTGCAGAATACAACGTGCTCCGCAAGAACTGAGTGTTCCAACTTCCTCGACCAGTGGAACAAGGAAAGCTCAAATTATGTCATGAGTGACATCAAATATTACGCTAAATACATAACGGATGAATTCAAATCAGATTGGAAGAGAGACGTAGAGGCTATTTGGGCCCAATTGTAATTTAATTTAGTAGTTATATAATAGATAATTTGGGAAAGTTATTAAAAACATAATATTGCAAACGAACTAGAATTGTAATGTTCAGATTCTATGTCAATATCTCGCAAGCTAAATCCTACCTATATATGACTTGTACACCTACATAATGACGTAAAGGTTTATTTCTTTATGGTTAAAAATATTGTCTTTTTCGTTTCATTGAATTTTAATTCAAATTTACACTTAAGAATAAAATATCCAAGCATCAAAGTACATAGTAATATTGAGAATGGCGCTAGTGAAGGTTCCAGAATAGCCATCACATTATTGTTTTATACCTTAGATTTAAAAAGTGACAAATAGCTAAATACCTTAAGATTTCTTTATGAATTTAATAAATAAAGTTGGCCTAATACTTGTTTTACTAGCTTAGATTACATATTAATATATTTTAATAAAAATATGTGAAAAGTCGATGGTGAGTTCTTTAGTATGTAATGTCTAACTTTTTTTTTTTATTGCTTAGATGGGTGGACGAGCTCACAGCTCACCTGGTGTTAAGTGGTTACTGGAGCCCATAGAAATCTACAACGTAAATGCGCCACACACCTTGAGATATAGTTCTAAGGTCTCAGTATAGTCACAACGGCTGCCCCACCCTTCAAACCGAAACGCATTACTGCTTCACGGCAGAAATAGGCGGGGCGGTGGTACCCACCCGTGCGGACTCACAACAAGTCCTACCACCAGTAATTACGCAAATTATAATTTTGCGGGTTTCATTTTTATTGCACGATGTTATTCCTTCACCGTGGAAGTCAATCGTGAACATTTGTTGAGTACGTATTTCATTAGAAAAATTGGTACCCGCAGCGGGATTCGAACATCGGTGCATCGCTCGATACGAATGCACCGGACGTCTTATCCTTTAGGCTACGACGACTTCTAAAACTTCCTTAACTTCCAATAGTCAAACAAATTCCACTTATTTTCCTCAACATAGTCCCAAAATTTTATTCACCGCTCTGCTCTCAGTCATACCATTTTCTTCAATCTATAGAGTCGTATTGACAATGATATTGTTAATTATTTTCAACTCACTCCTGATTTGTAACATTAATTGTGTGCGCAATATTTACGAGAAGACACATTATTGGAATTTGTTTGGGTATGATATTGACGGTATAAAATGTGAGTATTGAAGAAAGATTTAAACTTGAATGGCACAATTTGATATTTATTAATGTAATTCTGTGCTTTGTGAACTCACAATCTGGGATCAAGAAGTGGAAAGATATATGCATAAGAACTATTCAGGTAAACTACAAATCGGACTAGATAGTTTCAAATCGTTGAATATTTGAAGTCGTCGTGTCCTAAAGGATAAGACGTCCGGTGCATTCGTATCTAGCGACGCAACGGTGTTCGAATCCCGCAGGCGGGTACCAATTTTTCTAATGAAATACGTACTCAACAAATGTTCACGATTGACTTCCACGGTGAAGGAATAATACCGTGTAATAAAAATCAAACCCGCAAAATTATAATATGCGTAATTACTGGTGGTAGAATCTCTTATAAATCCGCACAGGTAGGTACCACCACCCTGCCTATTTCTGCCGTGAAGCAGTAATGCGTTTCGGTTTGAAGGGTGGGGCAGCCGTTGTAACTATACTGTGATCTTAGAACTTATATATCTCAAGGTGGGTGGCGCATTTACGTTGTAGGCGTCTATGAGCTCTAGTAGCTTCTTAAAACCAGGTGGGCTGTGAGCTCGTCCACTTTTATAAGCAATAAAAGAAAAAAATAGCTACTTTTCTGTGGATATTTGGCTGTTTTCTGTTGTGCGACTTATAGGTGATGATATTCGCGCAATATTTATCAGGTAAGGACCCTAACTATGTTGACTTGACAAGGATAATTGGTATTTATGTCGAATAAAGCGCTGGTCATAAAAAATATGTTACAGATACAAGTGATTCGGACTTCGAATACAATGAGGGCTCAATTAGTTTCGATGATGTGGAGTTGAAGGAACATGAGAAGTTTTTGATACGAAAGAATTTAGTTCCAAACCACGTTACTTTCAGTTATGATGTTTCTATAGTATCTATTCCTAGGACTAGACCAGGTGAGTTTTACTAATATTTTTTTTGGTGAAAGTCGATGATGAAAGTTATACCCTCACTATTGTTAAAGTTAGTGGGAGTTAGTTGTCGTGACCTAAAAGATGAGTTGTCATGGCCTAAGGGATAAGCTGTCGTGGCCTAAAGGATAAGACGTCCAGTGCATTCGTGTTGAGCGATGCACCGGTGTTATGCGAAATACGTACTCAACAAATGTTCACGATTGACTTCCACGGTGAAGGAATAACATCGTGTAATAAAAATCAAACACGCAAAATTAATTATAATTTGTGCAATTACTGGTGGTAGGACCTCTTGTGAGTCCGCTTGGGTAGGTACCACAACCCTGCCTATTTCTACCGTGAAGCAGTAATGCGTTTCGGTTTGAAGGGTGGGGTAGCCGCTGTAACTATAGTGAGAACTTAGAACTTATATCTCAAGGTGGGTGGCGCATTTACGTTGTAGATGTCTATGTGCTCCAGTAACCAGTTAACACCAGGTGGGCTGTGAGCTCGTCCAAACATCTAAGCGATAAAAAANACTTATATCTCAAGGTGGGTGGCGCATTTACGTTGTAGATGTCTATGTGCTCCAGTAACCAGTTAACACCAGGTGGGCTGTGAGCTCGTCCAAACATCTAAGCGATAAAAAAAAGATATGGAAATACTTTGTACCCAAAGTAGGGTAAGAGAAAATTAAGCTCATTATCCATCTTGTACGAAAAGTCTCAGATTTTAAATTGGCCACATACTATGTATTTATTTTATGAAATTGTATAATTTATGTAATTTGACAAACGTAATTATTATGAATTGTTTTAACGCGTAGCTACGGGTGGCTGTCTGTAATTTATCTACACTGCTAATTATGATTAATGTTTAAAATATTTTGCCCAGCTACCATTCTATTAAGTGCTCGTACCCTAAAAACCAAGCCAAATGTTTTGCCACAAGGATTTCACGCAACTATGATAAGTTTATAGTTTTTAGATAAACTAAGATAAGAAAACCGAAGCAAATGGAAGCTGAGGGTACAAAGAGCCACGAAGGACTTTCAAGGACACGACCTTCAGCAATGAAGTATTCGACTAAGAAGAATGATAAGTTTAAAAACTTTTATTTTTTAGGTATACCTTTCACTGTTAATACAATGAATACATTCAATTTTAATAAAAATGACTACAGTCCTTTACTACGCCCATATCCATNCTGTTAATACAATGAATACATTCAATTTTAATAAAAATGACTACAGTCCTTTACTACGCCCATATCCATCGGCAAGGGTGGCGAGGGACATAGTTTCTGTTTATGAAACAGCTGAAGATGGATGCCAAAGGCTATGGTTCGTTGATACAGGCTATTTGGATATGCCCGGTAAGAACTATACTATAATAGAGAAAATTTGAAGTGGCTCTGAAAATTTTAACATTAATTTTTTAGACTACAGAAATATAATTTACTAGCGACCCGCCCTCGCTTCGCTTCGGAAACATTAAAACACACATGAAACCAAAAAAAAAAAAAAAGTAGCCTATGTTCATCAGGGACAATGTCGGCTTCTAATGGAAAAAAAAAATTTTCAAATCGGTCCAGTAGTTTCGGAGCCTATTCGAAACAAACAAACAAACAAATCTTTCCTCTTTATAATATTAGTATAGATTGCCCAATGTAACTGTGATGAAGCAAATTTACGAGTAGCATTTGAAAAAAAACTGGAATGCCATCATAGAACAATTATGGTACAAAATAGAACGAAATGTTGTTACATGCATCAGGCCATAAATGAAATTGTTTAAATTTATTTTCAATGTTAGATGTTTGTGATGTGGCAGTGCTTATTTAAATAAATAAAAAATAAATAAATAAATGTAAATAATTAGCGACAAACCTTTGTCAATGGATTTTGGATCCTTAAAAAAATTAACTGGAGCCGCCATCTTGAGAGATGAGATCGAAGCTTATTTGGGTGTTACCACTGACTTTTTGAATAGAAACGTATGACTGCTTCATAGCAGACATAAATATGACGATAATATTGATCTGTTTATGACAGTACTCAAGAAAATTCAATATTGGCCAAACAATCACTATTAAACAATGAAGTTTTACTTATACGTGATTTTATCATTTAATTTCTTCATTCGTTCCAGGTATGAGGAAGCAAGTTGCGCCTCCCAGAATTTTCGCTTTTGAAAAGAATACTAAATTCAAAATTTATAGGGGCGATATTTCTTCTAATGTACTACGAGGTGGCATAACGGCAGGTAATTCAATATTTTATTCACATTTTTTAATACTAGAGGTCCCGCAGTAGTCGAAATTCGACTATAATTAATTGGAATTGTAAGTTTGTACACTATTATGATTGTATTTTATACTTCTATAATCACAAATTTCGCCAATTAATATAAAAAATATTAGCAAAGATAAACAATATTCTAACATACATAATATGATAACAATATTCTCAATTTGACAACAGACGTCAAGAACAAAAGTTTGACAATAAATAGTATGCATGCGTGTGTGCGTCGAATACATGGTATGTAGTGTGTGTAATGTTTTCTTCATTGATTTAAGGTATATTTTATGCATTATTTATAAAAAATATTAGCATTGTGCACTTCTTCCCTGTATTCTTTATAAGTGTGGAAAATTTCATACTCCTCCGTCCGCGCAATTTTCGTGAAAAGGGATACAAAGTTTTTGCTTCACGTATTAATATATAGATAGATATTATAGCAATGCGGGCAACGGTCACTTGCATGATTTACTCGAACAAAACTATATTTCCACAAAATGCCTATCTTCTGGTCTCTTAAGTAAAATCTATACATATAAATAAAATTGGAGTGTCTGTTTGTAATATTGAAATAACCGCTTTTTACTACATGCATATGAATATATACGGTACATACACCAAAATAACATTTTTTACAATTTTTGTCTGTCTGTCTGTCTGTTTGTTCCGGCTAATCTCTGGGACGGCTGGACCGATTTTGACGAGACTTTCACAGATAGGTAGCTGATGATATAAGGAGTAACTAAGGCTACTACTTTTTAGACTCACTTCGCCCCGCGGCGTCACTCGCGGTACGACAATAACCGCGGGTAACATCGCGAGACTCAGCAATTAATAATAAAGTTTAATGTTTCCGAAACGAAGCGAGGGCGGGTCGCTAGTCTTAAATAAAAATACTAATAATGATTATGACTCTATATTATTACTCTGTACAAAAAAAAGGTAGGAATGAAACGGAATAACAAGTTGACTTATAAGTACAATTCTTTTCCGAAATTCAAAAACTCACGCCAAGTGATTTTGTTTTATATTCCTACACTAATGTACTCTCGTAGATACTGTAAGCTTAAATAAATCACCATAAAAAAAATTAAATAGAAAACACTACATTGCTTCGCTCTTCGCGTTACCGCCAAAATGTCCTAAATTATTTTTATTCACATGTCCTTCTTCAAACGCGCTATGACATGTCCTTCTTCAAACGAGGCTCGTGGAGAGTATCAAGCGGCAGGCAGCGGCTTGGCTCTGCCCCTGGCATTGCTGAAGTCCATGGGCGACGGTAACCACTCACCATCAGGTGGGCCGTATGCTCGTCTGCCTACAAGGGTAATAAAAAAAAAGAACATGGAAGGAAGGAAGAAAAACTTTTTTTTTCTTTTTCTTAGATGGTCGAATGACCTAACGGCCAATCGGGTGTTAAGTGGTTACCGAGGTCCATAGAGATGATCCAACCTTAAATGCCTCCACCCACCTTGAGACATGACATGACAATTTGGATATTATATTAAAATAGTCGTTGCCATTAACCTAAATAGAATAGAATTATATTTTCTTCTATCGTAGTAGATATTTTATTTATTATTGATAAAAATGCTGACTACCGATCCAGCCCGAAAAACGTGTTGGTCGACACTCCGCTTGGATTGGCTGATCACTGCGTTATCCGTGCTGCCAATACCTCTTTCTGGTATCGATGAGTTGGGCAGTAAAGATCAGAAGATTGGGATGGATTGCATGAATTTTATGCATTCTACCCATGGCGGCGGCTCTGCTTTTCCTGATGATCTTGACGTCTGTGCGGACCGACTTAAAGACGTGGTGCTTCAGGGTATGGAATCGTTCATTCCTTGTTTTGAGGTACCCGTCGGAGGTCGTTGCAGACACTGGTATGACAATGCCAGCAGGGATGCTGCACACTTCAAGCGATCCGCATACACGGCATGGGATGATGCCAGGAGACGTCGGGATCCTAACGTCTCAGAGGAAAGGCGGAAATGTAACGCCGCTTCCAGGTCCTACAAGAAGACTATTGCCAAGGCGAAGTCAGAACACGTTGATAGAGTTGGCGAGCGACTAAAGAGCTAACCCTCCGGTGATTTTTGGTCGCTCGCCAGAGCTGCAGAAGAAAACATTTGCAGGTCTAACAGCGCGAAAAAGAAGGTTGACCTCCGGGTCAAACATTCAGCCTCAAACTCGACTGGGGTGCCACACCCCCGAACGTCCCCCGGTGTGATAGCTTTCTGCTGGGAATATGCTTCACATAGTGTACAGTCAGACGGGAGCTCCGACTCCTGGACTCCGACAAGTGGGCCAGATTTAATCCCCCAGGAGTTCTGAAAACGTACGCCCCTGAGCTGACACCTGCGCTGACGCGTCTGTATCGTCTCTCGTATAGTAACAACAGGATTCCGTCTTCATGGAAGACCGCCCACGTCTTACGGTAGGAAGCGACTTGGCTATGCCCCTGACATTGCTGAAGTCCATGGGCGACGGTAAGCACTCACCATCAGGTGGGCCGTCGTCCCTGTCTAAGTCAATGTCTAATTCGTTGAACCATTCACCGAATCATTTTTTTCTTACACTACTTTTAATTCAAATTTATTACAATTTATTTTCTATTTTTTAGTTAGATTTTCTATAAAAGCGTATTTTGTTATGTTTTTTAAACTATTTTTTATTTTTCAATATTTAGTTGAATTAAAAATTTTTCAATATATTTTTTTCAATTTTTTTTTTTTAAATTGAATTGTCATCTGTCCCTAATAAGTATACCAAATTTTACCTTACGTTTTGAAGGGGGTCAAAATCATGTTCAAAGATTCCGTTACAAACATACATACTAACATACATACGTCTGAAGCTAATAGAAGCGTATTAAAAAACGCATTGCAGATACCAGTGATTCAGATTACGAACAACAGGTCGGAGCGATTCACTTCGAAAATGAAGCTTTAAAAGACCATGAAAAATTTCTCATCCAGAAAAACTTAGTCCCATACGGTACAGTCTATTTGTTTTTCGACCAAATCGTGACTATACCAAGGACTAGACCAGGTGAGTTACAACTGCAATAAGAACTTAAAAGCTCTACAACTAGACAAATTACAATTATTGCTGGTCTAATTTTATTATTACACGATGTTATTCCTTTTTTTTTTATTGCTTAGATGGATGGACGAGCTCACAGCCCACCTGGTGTTAAGTGGTTACTGGTACCCATAGACATCTACAACGTAAATGCACCACCCATCTCGAGATATAGGTTCTAAGGTCTCAAATATACTTAGTCTGGCCATAAATACTGCTACAATTAAAAATAAACAAAATATTACATTTGAATTTGGAATCTGTCATTTTTATATGATTGCTCATTGAGTTCTCATGTTGGCGCCAATACATTGTACAATATTTTGCGATATTAAAATAGAGTGGGGTGATAAAGAGAACCAAATCGCTGTGATTGCATTACACAAAGTAGGTATGGAGCCAAATGCAATTTTTACACTCAGTATAGTAGTAACAGCTACCCCACCCTTCGAACCGAAACGCATCACTGCTTCACGGCGGAAATAGGCGGGGTGGTGGGACCTACTCGTGCGGACTCCCAAGAGGTCCTACCACCAGTGATTACGCAATTTATAATTTTGCGGGTTTGATTTTTATTACACGATGTTATTCCTTCACCGTGGAAGTCAATCGTGAACATTTGTTGAGTACGTATTTCATTAGAAAAATTGGTACCCGCCTGCGGGATTTGAACACCGGTGCATCGCTACATACGAATGCATCGGACGTCTTATCCCTTATGCCACGACGACTTCTCAAATTACTTCAGTAATATGTTAAGAAGTACATATTTCTTTAGAAAAATCGGTTACTATTTGCGGGATCAGAGCACATCGGCTTATCCTTTCGGCAACAACGCCTTCATTCTAATATTCTTAATATCTTGTTGTGCTAATGCATATTACTTTAATATAGTTCTCAAATCGATATGACGTCGTATATATTTACGTTTGTGTGAAGACCACTCACTCGAACTATGATCATCATAATTTTATTATCAGGCGCAAGATATGAAGAAACATTTCCGAACAAAACTGTGAGGCCATGTAGTAAATTTATAAGAACTAACCAAATAAAACTAAACTTTCAGGTATACCTTTCACTGTAAACATTATGAAAACACTGAATTTCAGAAAAAATAATAACAGCCCTCTCCTCCGTCCTTTTCCGAATACTCAGGAAGCGAAGAATATAGTTTCAGTATATGACATCGTCATAGATGGATGCCGGAGACTCTGGATGGTCGATACAGGGTTCATTGATGTTCCTGGTTAGTAAAATAGAGTCTTAATTCCGCTTTCGCTTCCGCTGCGTGCGCTGCGGATACGGTTAAAGTTTCACTAAAATAATGTATGATATAATTATTCCCCTTTGAAAATTCTAAAAAAAAAGTTCACCACAACACATTTCTATATTTTAAGGTTGGCTCACTATAATCTCTTTTTTTAACCGAGTTTATTCTAAAATAAAGCATTTTTTGTGAAGGTGAAGGTTTATAAAGATGATATTAATCATTATCCGAATAAATATGTACGTTATTCATTACAAGTATTTAATTTAAAAAAAAATTGCCCTTTACATCATTTGATTTTAATGAGTATCTTAGAAAATTAATGAAATTTCGGATACAATTTAGCGTTATCCCAAAATAACTATATCACGCGTCGCGTCAGTCGCGGGCAAAAGCTACTAAATATTTTTATTTATTAATTGCTTATATGGGTGAACGAGCTTACAGCCCGCCTGGTGTTAAGTGGTTACTGGAGCCCATAGACATCTACAAGGTAAATGCACCACCCACCTTGAGATATAAGTTCTAAGGTCTCAGTATAGTTACAACGGCTGCCCCACCCTTCAAAACGAAACGCATTACTGCTTCACGGCAGATATAGGCAGGGTGGTGGTACCCACCCGTGCGGACTCACAAGAGGTCCTACCACCAGTAAAGACGTCCTACCACCAGTAAATAAATAAAACAATATAATTTGTTTGTCTTAGTTTTACTCAGAGTAACCTTAATTAATCTCATACTCAAACAGGTGACAGAAGACAGGTTCAAGCACCAACAGTAACCATATTAAGCGTTAATAAGTACGTGGTTTACAAAAAAATACGCATAGATCCAGAAGTACTTCGTAATGGAGTAACGTCAGGTAGTATAATTAATTAAGCTATTGTCCATCAGGCAACCGACGTTGTCACTATGTCAATAGGATCATAAGTATACTTAGTCTGGCCATAAATACTGTTACAATTAAAAATAAACAAAATATTACTTTTGAATTTGGAATCTGTCATTTTTGTATGATTGCTCATTGAATTTTCTCATTTTGGCGCCAATACATTGTACAATATTTTGCGATATTAAAATGGAGTGGGGTGATAAAGAGAACCGAATCGCTGTGATTGCATTACACAAAGTAGGTATGGAGCCAATTGCAATTTTTAAAACTCTGCATACGCTTGGTATTAGTAAAATGTTTGTGTACCGGGCTATTAATAGGTGCAATGAGACCTCCTCTGCTTGTGACAGAAAAAGATCTGGCCGTCCACGTAGTGTTCGTACGAAAAAGGTGGTCAAATCAGTAAGGGAAAGAATTCGAAGAAATCCTGTTCGAAAGCAAAAGATTTTATCTCGGGAGATGAAGATAGCACCTAGAACCATGTCGCCTTTTTAAAAGATGACTTAGGACTTGCAGCCTATAAGAGACGTACTGGCCATTTCTTAACTGATAATTTAAAAGAGAATAGGGTGATAAAATCGAAACAACTACTGAAGCGGTACGCAAAGGGAGGTCTTAGAAAAAATTGCTTACGGATGAGATTTTTTTTACAATTAAGCAACATTTTAACAAACAAAATGACCGTATTTATGCTCAAAGCTCTAAGAAAGCTGCCCAATTAGTCGACAGAGTGCAACGTGGGCACTATCCGACTTCAGTGATGGTTTGGTGGGGTATTAGCTATGAAGGAGTGACTGAGCCATACTTTTGTCGAAAAGGTATTAAAACATCGGCACAAGTGTATCAAGATACCATTCTTGAGAAGGTAGTGAAGCCCCTTAACAACAAAATGTTCAATAATCAAGAATGCTCCTTCCAGCCAGACGGCGCCAGGTCATAAAGCTCGGTCTACGCAGTCTTGGTTGGAAACGAACGTTTTGGACTTCATCAGAGCTGAAGACTGGCTGTCGTCTAGTCCCGATCTTAATCCGCTGGATTATGATTTATGGTCAGTTTTAGAGAGTACGGCTTGCTCTAAACGCCATGATAATTTGGATTCCCTAAAACAATCCGTAAAATCCGGCAGTGAAAAATTTTCCCATGGAAAGAGTGCGTGCTTCTATTGATAACTGGCCTCAACGTTTAAAGGACTGTATTGCAGCCAATGGAGACCACTTCGAATAAGCTTTTTATACTTTAAATTGTTTTATATTTATGTATTAAACTAACACACTGTAAAAGTAATAAATGTTATTTGCAATAGATTTTTTTTTTCCTTTTTCTCAGTATTTATGCCAAGACTAGGTATATGAATTAAATACTTTTTTTCTACGTCACCTTTATTCGACCTTTTGAGGATTTTTATAAATAAACGCAGGATAAAGTACGAATTGAAACCGATTAAATTATTGCCGTAGAAAATGATTTTCACTGTGTTTAATATATATTAATGTAAAATTGTTAAAATGTTACAAAATTATCCTGGAAAAAAAAGCCGCAGCTAAATTGGCATAGTGGACGTTTCGGCACTATACGATCTAGAAATGATATTTATTTTGCAGAAAAGAGCTATACGTGCTATTTACACTGAAGGGAATCCCTGAGGGAGAAATTTAAAGAAATTAAACTTCTCACTATGCCATCCCAGTACATTTTTGAAAATTTGATGTATGTTCGTAAACATATTGAGGAGTTTCCTAAAAAGTCGGACATACATAACAGAAATACTAGGAACAAACACAAGCTTGTTGTGCCGATGAGTACGTTACATAAGATACGAAATTCATTCGGGTGTTTGTCTGTGCGCCTGTACAACAAAATCCCGCAAGATGTTCAGAACCTACATATACATAGGTTTAAGAAAACTATTAAAGAACATCTGTGCAATAAAGCTTACTGTAAAGTCAATGATTATCTAGAAGATTGCACAAAGTGGGAATGAGTTGCTCGCTCCGGGCATTTCAATATTGTAGTAATTGTTACGTTATAATACTCATTTTAAAAAAATCATATTTAAAAAAAAATCTAATACTAAAAAATATATATTCATATTTAAAAAAAAAAAAGACATGCCCGCTGAGTTTCTTGCCAATTCTTCTCAGGACGGAGGCTAGTTCTTGTGAATTGGGGGTATTTCTTTTGACGTTCAACAAGTATGTACTTTCACTTATGTTGAATAAAAAATTTTTGATTTGATTTGATTTGATTTGATACGTAACCGCGGGCGAAATTTTGTATCCACGAAGGCGACGCATGGACGCAGATTGCGCAAAATTTTATCGAAGCTGGCTACTGACATCAGATAATAATTTAAAAAAAAATCACTGGATATTTTCTTAAAATTTGATATTTCGAAAGAAACCTTTCGAAAATCTACCGATAGTAATGGATGGACCCAATATTTGCGAAATTTTCGTTGACATCCTTGTTTTCTATTTATCTTAGTACCAGAGAAACAATACATACTGCCCTTTTGAAATCAAATTTCAAACTGTGAGGATTGCGAGCGGTTTCGCGGTTTACAATTGTAGTATGTGCATTTTAGGCGGTTTCGCGATTATAGCTATAAACCGCTCCCGGGAAAAACCGCAGTGCGGCCTAGGCCTTAGATATAAAATTAAATATACTACATATCTCGCAGTTTGACAGTTTGATGTCAAACTTACCTGACCCCTGTGCATATTCAGCTGAACAAAGAAACATCCCGTTTGTGATTTATTTAAGTGGCCCTAAAATGCGCGCAAAATAATACTATTAACAATAGCAATGATTTTTACAGGTCTTAGAACCATCGCCATAGACTACATCTTACCTTGTTCGGAGACCTTTATGTACATAAATGATGACAGCAGTAATGCTGTAATCGTGTTTTCGCTGAGGAAGTTGAGCTTTCAGAGAATCGTCAGATCGAATGCTAAGGACGAAGCGTGGAGCTTTCCTGTACCAAGTATGAAATATCATGTTATCACGTTTATAGAAAAATAGCTAAACGACATAAACACATGTGCCCAATAAGCTTCTGACAACAAAATATCATAGTCCAAGATTAATTATTTTGATAATAAAAATGTTGTATGTCAATAAAATCTCAATTTCAGAATCAATTGTAAATTACATGACGAACGTGGTCAGATACCGACAGCCCCCGAATGAGACCTTTGTCCAGTATTCAGATTTATTGAAAACAACAATTGCCGATCGGGAGAAGCTACGCTCTGATGCGGTGAGTATTGGAGGCGACTGGTGAATGTGACGTACTGTATAAGAACGAACTACAGCAATTTATCTACCGCCCGATTAACCTCCTCATTTCTCTAGACAAACTGTATGAGCGTCTGCTTTACAAACGTCTTAAAGGCTACGTCTCATCCAGGGGCATTCTCATCGATGAACAATTCGGATTCCGTGCAAATCACTTATGCGTACAACAGGTGCACCGCCTCACGGAGCACATTCTCGTAGGGCTTAACCAACCAAAACCGTTATACACGGGAGCTCTCTTCTTCGACGTCACCAAAGCGTTCGACAAAGTCTGGCACAACGGTTTGATTTACAAACTATTCAACATGGGCGTGCCGGACAGTCTCGTGCTCATCATACGGGATTTCTTGTCAAACCGTTCTTTTCGATATCGAGTCGAGGAAGCCCACTCCTCCCCGCGACCACTCACGGCTAGAGTGCCGCAAGGTTCCATCCTGTCGCCACTTATATTTAGTTTATTTAATAACGACATTCCCCGGTCGCCACCGACCCAGTTAGCCTTATTCGCGGATGACTCAGCCATTTATTACTCGAGTAGGAACAAGTCCCTTGTAGCGAGTAAGCTCCTGAGTGCAGCCGTGACCCTCGGACAGTATTTCCGAAAATGGCGCATAGACATAGCACGGCAGTGTTATTTCAAAGAGAAAACTCACCGCTTGTTTCCTCCCGTATTAGGAGGAGAAATATCACACCCCCAATCACCCTTTTGGCCAACCGATACCCTGGGCCAGGAAGGTCAAGTAACTGGGAGTCACCCTGGATGTATCCATGACATTCCGCCCGCATATAACAACAGTCTGTGACCGTGCCGCATTTATTCTCGGCAGACTTTACCCCATGATATGTAAACGGAGTAAAATGTCCCTTCGGAACAAGGAGACACTTTACAAAACTTGCATAAAGCCCGTCATGATTTACGCGAGTGTGGTGTTCGCTCACGCGGCCCGCACATTCATAGACACCCTCCAATCCCTACAATCCCGCTTTTGCAGGTTAGCCGTCGGGGCTCCGTGGTTCGTGAGGAACGTTGGCCTACATGACGACCTGGGTCTCGAATCGATCCACAAACACATGAAGTCAGTGTCGGAACGTTACTTCGATAAGGCTATGCGTCATGATAATCGCCTTATCGTTGCCGCCGCTGACTACTCCCCGAATCCTGATCACGCAGGAGCAAGTCACCGTCGACGTCCTAGACACGTCCTTACGGATCCATCAGATCCAATAACCTTTGCATTAGACGCCTTCAGCTCTAACACTAGAAGCAGGCTTAGGGACCCCGGTAACCGTACTCGTCGAACTCGGATGAGGTAGGGGGGTTACCGCGGTCAACACTAGAACCAGACGGAGCGGCTCACCCCAAGGCCAGCCAACGGAGCCTTCGAGGCGAATCGAAGGCTCTGAAACGTCGGCCGTCTCGGTACGGCAGCCTGTCAGGCCGCCTAGACGGTGCCGCTGGTGTCCCGGAATACCCCGCTGGACCAGAACCAGCCTGCCGGGTCGGGACGCGATACACCGCCTACTGGTCGCTCTTTCGTATCTCCTTGGCAGCGCGCTAGAGTGCTGGTAGCGCGCCGCGCGGCCTCTACCCCCTCAGGTTGCCCCTTGATAAATCCCACCCCTCCTGGCTGAGCCTTCCTCGCCCACCTGTCCTAGTGAAACTGGAAAGGCCTCCGGGCCACCAGTAATACTTCAATAAAAAAAAACAGCAATTTATGATGATAGGCATTTTATGTCACCATTTTGCCATCAGCGATGTCAGTCCTTTAAATCGCGACTTGGGTTTGCAGAATTGCAGAACAGTAATTATATCCACAAAGCCTAGCCTTGACTTTATCAGCGTAGATGACATACGAGCTTACAGTCCACCAGGATAAGGCACATACAAACATATGAATGTCGATCTCAATATATCCTGTCATGAGTAAATTTAAGCAAATTAACTATAACAAATTCTTATTCCCAGGAACTAAGCGAGCCCGATGCCAATCCCCGAGGGGTGTTGTATGAAAGAAATGTAGACAGTAATGTTTTATTTTTCACAAACGAAGAACGCACACTTCTGTTTTGTTGGAACGCGGACACACCGATGGTTGAAGAGAATGTAGAATTGCTCACCGACATATCGCCGGACAACGATTTTTATATATCCGGTACAAAAAATTCATTCGTTTTTCATTATAAATAAAGCAGCAAGTAGTGTGGTGATAAAATGGAGAGGCTGGTAATTCATTCCTCTTCGAGCAACTGTTAATTCCCTGTCATATGTTGCTAATGTGTACTAGTGTAGCGTCATTCCGATAGAGGCACCCGTCACGTGCGGACGTGCTCATCGACCACTCGATCGCCCGGTCTTTGTTCGCCCGGCTTTTGTTAGCCCGGCCATTGTTCGCGCGGCCTGTGTTCGTGGTACATCTGCCGACTAAGTGCTCTTCCTGGAAGTTTTTATTTGTTTTGTTTCCTTTTGTTGTTTCTGTGTTCGTGGTACANCAGCAGGTAGTGTGATGATAAAATGGAGAGGCTGGTAATTCATTCCTCTTCGAGCAAGTGTTAATTCCCTGTCATATGTTGCTAATGTGTACTAGTGTAGCGTGTCGATAATACCACAGCTACTGATTCCAGCAGATGATTTGCGTCATGTTGATCTTCCATCTTATGTTTCAAGTTGTTATCGGCATCCTTGATGTCACTGGGCTCTCGAAATTGGATTAGTTCGTCGGCCTTTTGTTTATTTTGTCTATAACACTAAAATGCCATTTTTTCAGCAATGGACACTAGCGGATATCGCTTCCAATTTATCGTCAATAGAATACGGGATATCAATAACAATATTTATAATGAACAATATATAAATTTCGTCAATTATCAGTAAGTACCGAGACACCAGCAAAAGATGATTGCTTTATAGTTTCGATTTGATTGCTTTTTATTATATTGATCAATGAGTAAATAAAATTGGCACGTGAAGAAAAGAAATTACTGAAAAATCCATGAAAACGGAAATCATAATTAATCTCGAAATGTTTGAAAGGCAATTATAATTTTGGAGAATGCTTAAGGGGTCCATCCAAATTGGTATTACTTCCTAGAGACATTTCATCCAACTCCCAATAGTATTCTTCTGCTGTCTTTCCAACCTTCGAGCCTGACTGTTTCGCGAAAGGAATAGACAGGATGTTGATCGTTATTTCTTCATTATGGTGCTTGTCTATCAGCGTCTTAGCTATGCCTTAAAGTAATGGTTTATTTTCATCTAAAGGATCCTTGTTGACGACATGCTGGAAAATACAACGTGCTCCGCAAGAACTCAGTGTTCGAATTTCCTTGATGAGTGGAGAGGGGAAAGTTCGAGGTATATCATTAGTCACATAAAATATTTCGCGAAATACATAACGGATGAGTATAAATCGGACTGGAACAGAGATACTGAGGCTGCTAAGGCTATTTGGGCCCAATTTTAATATAATTTATCAATGTATCTACTGTAATGAAAAGATAACTGAAACGTTTTTAGTTCGCATAGGTTTGAACTGAACGTTTCAGAAGTATCATTTTCTCTTAGATTAACAAATGTATATAGGTGTCTACAGATGTATACATTCTATTTTTATTATTATATATTTTTTCAATTGTTAATTCTGGTTCATGGAGTTTCAAATAATAACGGTGCTAAAGAATAAAAATAAAACAATCACATTAAATTAGAATGAGACTTGTTTAAGCAGTCTTCATAATAATATTTGTATGTTGTGAAATTATCACTCAGGCTCTCTTCGCCTTAGGGACGTTGTACATAGAAACTTTAACTTTCTTACGACCACCGATGATATTCTCTTTCTGACTGCAGTGAATAAAATTCGTCTCAATATTTTAATTGGGACACATAAGGGAGATTTTTTACCAAACGGTTATCTTTGCTTAGGGGACGTCTGAATGTTAGGACCTACTGGATTACTTCGAATCTATGATAGGTGCTACTACACCATCATTGGTTCTACTAAAGTTAACGTTCTGTGAAGAATCGACGTAACCCATTTAATGTTCGGCCGTCTGGTGTAGTGGTAAGTGACATGGTCACTACACAAGGGGGTCGCGGGTTCGAATCCCGCCAAGGGAAGATATTTTTATGATAAATATAAATGTCTTTTCCAGGGTTATGGATGTATATTAAAAATATATGTATGTGTATAATGAAAATCTTACATTTATATCCGTTATCTGGTACCTGTAACACAAGTTCTTTACGAACTTATCACGGGACCAGTTAACGTGGCGTGATAGTTAGTATAAAAAAAAAAATGTTAAATGGAGTGTATTCTAAAATGTGGATGTGAAAATAGAACGTCTAATAAATACTTTGTTTAATTATTTACATTTTCCTCCTATTCCTCGACCTGCTTTCCAAGGAATCGCTAGCATATTTCGCCAGAAGTGTCGCCAAAATGGTCGTCGTGGCCTAAAGGATAAGAGGTCCGGTGCATTCGTGTTGAAGGATGCACCGGTGCTCAAACCCCAGGCGGGTACCAATTTTTCTAATGAAATACGTACTCAACTGTTCTCACTCAAATATTCACAATTGACTTCCACGGTGAAGGAATAATATCGTGTAATAAAAATCAAACCCGCAAAATTTTAAAATGCGTAATTACTGGTGATAGGACCTTTTGTGAGTCCGCACGGGTAGGTATCACCGTGCTGCCTATTTCTACCGTGAAGCAGTAATGCGTTTCGGTTTGGAAGGTGGGGCGGGGCAGCCGCTGTAACTATACCTGAGACCTTAGAACTTATATCTCAAGGTGGGTGGCGCATTTACGTTGTAGATGTCTATGGGCTCCAGTAACCACTTAACACCAGGTGGGCTGTGAGCACGTCCATAAATCTAAGCAATAAAAAAAAGCATCTCAAATGCATCATCAGTAGATCCAACTGGTTTAATGTCAAAAATAGCTTCACGGCACACTTAGAGATTGTCAGAATGCTGTCAGAAAGCAGAACGCTACCTCTCGACGGCCTGAGTCACGTTGTCGCTGGTTTTTTACCGCATTCATGGTACAAAATAGCATAACAGGTTGAGTTCTGGTCAAAGTGGATCTGCTATAAGACTAATTTTAGAGCCCCTGGTCTCTGCACCGTATAAGAACATGGAGAACAAGAAAGTGCGTACAAGATTAATCTTGGTTTTCAAGGAGATGTTTTTATCCTTCCATAACTTATTAAGTTGAGCCATGACCCCCTTTGCCATTCCGGTTCTTCTTAGTATCTCATCTTCACACGAGCAATCACTACTAATGTTTGCTCCCAGGTACTCAAAGTTGTTTACTACCTCTAAGTCAAGTCTTCCTGTGAGCTCAAGCTTGCCTATGCGATCTAAGACTTAGATCTTGGTTTTAGACCTATCGAGAGTAGGAGTTTAGTGCTGATACGTTCCATCTTATTTTATTTATATTTTCATTGTTGTAAAAAAGTAAAGTAGACAGATAAAAAATTATTTCCTACTTATTCATGTTTTAATTGATCAAACCGAACTACGTCACCGTTGCCAAGGAAAAATCATTTAGCAAATAAAGGACAAAAAGATATATCTACCTAATTCACCTTTGATATTTTTTTATATGAACGAAATCTATTTATTCTCTGAACTAATAATTATATTTACTATATTTGCCATTGTTCCCGGCTGGCCTTACAACAGAACATGAAACCATGAAAACCAATAATTCTATAACTTATTCAAGGAAGTATGTCTATAAAGCTCAGTCGGAATGATTTCCGGTCTAATGACGTGATTCGGAGGCCAGGAATATGCTGAGCAACGTTTGATCACCGATTGAGGGCGGGAGGGGGAGATAAAATGAATATTATACGAAACACACCTATCTATTCTATGCAGCCTTAATCAGGCATGGGCAGGTTTGTAAAATAAACGTTACTAGTGGTCTAGTCGACTATAATCAATTGAAAGTATAAGTTTCAACATTATTATGCTCTTATTGTTACATCGTGTAATAAAAATGAAACCCGTAAAATTATTAATTGCGTAATTACTGGTGGTAGGACCTCTTGTGAGTCCGTGCGGGCAGGTACCACCCCCCTATTTCTGCCTATTTCTGCCGTGAAGCAGTAATGCGTTTCGGTTTGAAGGGTGGGGCAGCCGTTGTAACTATACGTGAGACCTTAGAACTTATATCTCAAGGTGCGTGGCGCATTTACGTTGTGGATGTCTATGGGCTCCAGTAACCACTTAACACAAGGTGGGTTGTGAGCTCGTCCACCCATCTAAGCAATAAAAAAATAATAAATAAAAAGATTTCGCCAAGACAACACTATAGACAAATACTCGTAATATTAAAGATAAACAATACTAACCTATTCTCAATTTGACTACAGACTTTAAGCAATAACAAAAGTTTGACAATAAACAAAGAGCATATGTGTGTGTGTGTGTCAAATACATGGTAGTGTGTGTAATGTTTTTTTTATTGATATAATGTATATTTTATGCATTATTTAAAAAAAAATTAGCATTGTGCACTTTTTCTCTATATTCTCTATAAGTGTGGAAAATTTCATTACTCCTCTGTCCGCGCAATTTTCATAAAAAGGGATACAAAGTTTTTGCTTCACGTATTAATATATAGATAAGTGTACCTAAGATCTGTGGTGTTACCGGTCTGCCTAAAAATGCTGCTAAGCAGTGATGCCTTCCAGGTTCAAGGTTGGTACATCTTTTGCTTAGGACACTTCGATTTTTAAGCTCTTGTCCTAAGCTGCGCGGAATTTATTTTTCCACGGTTAAGCGCTGCAATAACCTATTAATACCAGATAGATCTTTAGCGAGTGTACACAAAACTACACTAAAAAACGATTCACTAGATTAACGTAGGTGGCTATATGTTTTAACGTTACACAGTGTAAGACCACTTACACAAAAAATGACCTTGCAATGCAAACTGAGAATCACCACATTTCTTGAAATCGGTCAAAACCACACACGTTTTGAAAAAAATTAGGAATTTGATATTTACATTTTAAACCAGTCTCAAGAATCAGTAACGTCGGTCAAGACGTGTGTCAATGAAAATGTTTATTTATTTTTTTATTAATTCAATACTTTTAATCAATGGAATTGATTGTATCCGTAATCAATATGAACGTACAAACTATTGGAGACTATTTGGATATGATATTGACGGTGTCAAATGTAAGTTTGTTATTTTATTTCTGCTTTTCCTAGAGTATGTAATTTCAACATTATGTCTNAAAAAATAGAAATTAAAAATTTTGTCTAAAAAATAAATAAAAAAATTTAGGGGTGGACTACCCCTAACATTTAGGGGGATGAAAAATAGATGTTGGCCGATTCTCATAGATACCGGATAAGCACAAAAAATTTCATCAAAATCGGTCAAGCCGTTTCGGAGGAGTATGGCAACGAAAACTGTGACACGAGAATTTTATATATTAGATATTAGCAAAGATAAACAATATTTAATCTATTCTCAATTTGACAACAGACGTCAAGAACAAAAGTTTGACAATAAATAGTATGCATGCGTGTGTGCGTCAAATACATGGTATGTAGTGTGTGTAATGTTTTCTTCATTGATTTAAGCTGTATTTTATGCATTATTTTTAAAAAATATTAGCATTGTGCACTTCTTCCCTGTATTCTTTATAAGTGTGGAAAATTTCATACTTCTCCGTCCGCGCAATTTTCGTAAAAAGGGATACAAAGTTTTTGCTTCACGTATTAATATTATATAGATATTATAGCAATGCGGGCAACGGTCACTTGCATGATTTACTCGAACAAAACTATATTTTCACAAAATGCCTATCTTCTGGTCTCTTAAGTAAAATCTATACATGTAAATAAAATTGGAGTGTCTGTTTGTAATATTGAAATAACCACTTTTTACTACATGCATATGAATATATACGGTACTTACACCAAAATAACATTTTTTACAATTTTTGTCTGTCTGTCTGTCTGTTTGTTCCGGCTAATCTCTGGAACGGCTGGACCGATTTTGACGAGACTCTCACAGATAGGTAGCTGATGATATAAGGAGTAACTAAGGCTACTACTTTTTAGACTCACTTCGCCCCGCGGCGTCACTCGCGGTACGACAATAACCGCGGGTAACATCGCGAGACTCAGCAATTAATAATAAAGTTTAATGTTTCCGAAACGAAGCGAGGGCGGGTCGCTAGTCTTAAATAAAAATACTAATAATGATTATGACTATATTATTACTCTGTACAAAAAAAAGGTAGGAATGAAACGGAATAACAAGTTGACTTATAAGTACAATTCTTTTCCGAAATTCAAAAACTCACGCCAAGTGATTTTGTTTTATGTTCCTACACTAATGTACTCTCGTAGATACTGTAAGCTTAAATAAATCACCATAAAAAAAATTAAATAGAAAACACTACATTGCTTCGCTCTTCGCGTTACCGCCAAAATGTCCTAAATTATTTTTATTCACATGTCCTTCTTCAAACGCGCTATGACATGTCCTTCTTCAAACGAGGCTCGTGGAGAGTATCAAGCGGCAGGCAGCGGCTTGGCTCTGCCCCTGGCATTGCTGAAGTCCATGGGCGACGGTAACCACTCACCATCAGGTGGGCCGTATGCTCGTCTGCCTACAAGGGTAATAAAAAAAAGAACATGGAAGGAAGGAAGAAAAACTTTTTTTTTTCTTTTTCTTAGATGGTCGAATGACCTAACGGCCAATCGGGTGTTAAGTGGTTACCGAGGTCCATAGAGATGATCCAACCTTAAATGCCTCCACCCACCTTGAGACATGAGTTGTACGGTCTCACTTTAACAGTACAACGGCTGCCCCACCTTTCAAACCGGATCGCATTACTGCTTCACGGCAGAAATAGGCAGGGTGGTGGTACCTACCCGTGCGGACTCACAAGATGTCCTACCACCAGTAATTACGCAGATCATATTTTTTGCGTGTTTGATTTATATTACACGATACCTACTTCGCTTCAATAATACCTTTGGTTATATCATCATCGTGGAATTCATTTGCAAGCATTTATTAAGAACGTGTT